GCATGTCCTCCGGCCCCCACGCAAAGACAACGCTGAAGAGGATCAAGACTCGGATGATTTTTTCCCTCAAGCCGGCCGGGAGGCCGGTTCCAATCTTGACCTTCCGTTCTGGCTTCTCGGGGTCAACCTGAATTTCCTCCACTTCCGAGGTGGGTTCAGCACGGAGCTGGCCCTCCTCATACTTCATGGCCTTGTTGTTGATAGTATGGACTCTCAAGTCCTTCTGGCCGATTTGTTTGCAAGCTTTTAGGTAGCAGCTCCTAGCCATCCGCTGGTCTCCCCTAGCAACTCCGACACCATTCGGAGTGGGGAACTTCATGCACAGGTGCTCCTGGGATATCACACACCTCAGGTCCTCCAGGGCCGGCCTCCCCATGATGATCTTATGCGGACAAGTTAGGCGTACGACTATGAATTCGACGTTTAACTTAGACACGCAGGGCTCGGAGCCCACCACCACAGGGAGGACTATGCTACCTTCCGACTCAATGGAGTCCCCGGTGAAGCCTGAGAGCGGGGTCCTCACCGGGATCAAGTCCTTCCTGTCCAGGCCGAGCCCCTGGAAGGTATCATAGTACATGATGTTAACGGAGCTCCCATTATCTACCAGGACTCGGTGGACGATGGTGTTGTTGATCTCGATCTTGATCATCAAGGCATCCCTGTGCGGTGGCGGCATCGACGGCAAATCTGCATCGGTGAAGAGGATGGGATCCCTCTTCACCCTCTTATCGGCAGGAGCTCTGGTTACTTCCCCAACGTACAAGGCTCGGGCCCATTGTTTCCGCTCTCCCGAGGTATCCCCTCCTTGGGGTCCCCCGAAGATGTATGAACATCGATGGTGTTTACGGGAGCCATCCCCTAGGTCGGCCTCATCATCCTCGGAAAGGGCGCCAAGCTCCCGCTTCTTGGCGGGTTGCTTCTCCTTTGATGTGGTAGCTTGGTCGGACCGCTGCCACGTCAGGCTCCTCTTCTGCGGAATGTTTCCTGGTTTGCCAACAAATTGGCCCAGGTACCCTTTTTGGATGAGTTCTTCAATTTGCCGTCGGAGAATGACGCAATCATCTGTATCATGCCCTGCTCTCCGGTGGAATCGACAATATTGGTCGAGGTTGCGCTTGGCTGTCACCACATCACACTCCTCCGGAAAGTCAACTAAGCCTTGCTCCTCCACGTAGTCGAAGACGGCCTCGATCGGTTGAGCAAGTGGAGTCAATTGTTTGACGGGCAGGAGCGGTCCGCTCGGGACGTCCGCCCTGCCCTTGCCTTTGCTCTTGTTACCTTTGTACTTGTTTTTGTTGCCAGCCTTGCCGTCAGCTTTCTCGGCACCAGAACCAGCTTCCTTCTTCTTCTCCTCCTTTGCGCCTTCTTCCTCATCTCTCCTCCTCTGCACGGCATCTTCCGCCTCGGCCTGGCGATCAGCGCGGCCGAGCGCCTCCTCGTACGAGGCAGGGGGACTTCTAACGAAATCTTTGTAAAGCTCGCTAGACCGGATAGAGTTTGTGAGCATTGCCACCCCAGTCCTGTCATCAAGGCCCTGAACCTTGACTGACTCGGCCCTCCACCTCGCTAAGAAGGCGGACAATGATTCCTTCTTCCCCTGTTTTAGGCCGAACAGGTGGCTGAAGTTCTTTTTGACGTCTCGAGAGCTAGCGAACCTCAAGAGAAAGCGTTGAGCCAGCTCACGAAAGTTCATAATACTCCCGTCGGGCAGAGAATCATACCATTCACGAGCCGGGCCATCCAAGGTGGCAGAGAAACCGCGGCACCGGATGGCGTCCTCGTACCCCATCATCACCATGTAGGAGAGGTATCGCGACACATGATGTTGGGGGTCAGAAATGCCCTTGTATGTTTCGATGGTGCAAGGCTTGTAGCCCCTTGGCAACGGCGCATCCATGATCGCCCGGGTGAAAGGTTCGGGTATCCGGAGGTCGGCCGTGTAGGGCTCCCCCCCGACGACCCTTCTCCTCAACTCGTCAAGGCGTTGTCGTAGATCTTCCACCTCGGCCGGCGGTGGGTTCCCTCGGACAGCCCTAGCACGGGGCTGGGCATGTCCAGCAGCACCTCCAAGTCGCCTGTGTGCATGAGGTCGGGTCCCCACGTTTTGCCTTTCCATGGAGCCAGTCCGGCTGCTCGCTCGGTGAGAGTGGCGAGAGGACTCGCCTCCTTCCATCTGCATTGAGCGCCCCTGTTGGGCGCCCCTCCCCGCCTGCTGATGGGGTCGGCTAAGCTGCTGGGAGACTTCCTCCCTTCTGTTTTGGTCGGATCCAGAACGTCGCTCGTCACGCCGCCTGGAGGACACCTCCACATCTGCCCGCGTCTGTTGGCGGGCAGGCTCATCCACGTTTCCGCCAGACACCATCTGTTGGAAACCTTGAGTCAAGGCCCCCAGAACCCGAGTCGCCTCCTGTAGGGCCTCCACCCCCGGCATTGAGTCGAACCGGGTCCATGCGCGGAGCATGACGTCGGCCTCCCCCCCCGCCGGCTGCGGGCCGAGCGCTCACCTTGGGTGTGGTTGAGCGTCACCCTCAGGTCGCCGTGGCCTGACAATCGGTTCCGAAGGTCGCCTTGGGGCGCCGCCCCCCTGCCCTGTCCATGGTTGTCGAGGGCACGCTGGCGGCCTGACCCGATGGATTCCTCGGTGTGGACTGAGACATGGTCACGTCGGGACGAGATTCCGGCCATCTTTCTGTGCGATTCCTGCTCAAGTGATTGTGAGAGACAATAGAGGCTCTCAACGAAAGCACCAATGTTGGTCCAAAATAGGACGCTCGTAGGCTTTTAGGAAAGCTACGTAAGAACACTCAAGCAGGAAAATAAAAGGTAATACGAGTAAGGAAAGTGCTAGGAGATTGAGGTGCCAGAAATGACTTGTCTATTATTTGAATCCAACTTGCCTTATATAGGCGATTACAAATGGTAACTGCCAAACGTTATAATGGCTAATTTAATTACCATGTTAATACATAATTAATCACATAAATAAATATCGTATTAATGCCTGGCCGTTACTCTTCCCTGGTTGGCTGGCCGTTGCTCTTCCCTGGCTGGCAGGCTGGGCGCTCGGGCTCCCTGGGTGACAGGCTTCCGCTGGGCCGGAACCAGGCTCATCGCTAGACCGAAGACAGGCTTCCGGTTGGGCCGGTAGGCAGGCCGTCTTGGGCTTCTGCTCCGCTGGACTTCCACTCCTTGATGGGCCCGGTCGGTTGGGTCGACCTGATATCTGATCGCTGGGTTCACTCGCTGGGCTTGCCTGGCGAGACAACAGTCGTGGGCTTGGGCCTGCTGATCCAAGTTTGGGGCCAAGTCTGATTAGGCATTGGGCCTAGTCCCATAATCCCATCACCCACCATTTTCAGGTTGAAGCTAGGGCTTGCTACTTGCACCTTCTCACGGGTGGTATCAAATCAGGAAGACGTGGTCCGTGCTTCCTTATTTTCTTTCAAACTACCGAACACTTGCTCATGGATATTTGTTCTACTATAAACTATTTTTGGGGCTTGCATGCCCATGTTGTTGGCCGGTTGTGGCCTATGACTTACCGTTGAATATTTTCCGCTATTCATTGGTTTAAATGTGATGTTGTTATGTATGTTTACTACTGAGTATGGATGGATTGTTTTCTCGAACGCCTTGTGTAATTGAGTGAGGTTGACTCGTGGGTGACGTCACTTAGTTATACGGCGGTTGTACACGCGCTTGGATTGCGGTCTGGGGCGTGACAATTAAGTGGTATCAGAGCCATCTCAGTTCTAAACTATATAATCAACCTCTCACAAAAGATTTTACAAAAGAGTTTTTGCCGAAAACCATGAGCATTGTATTTTGACGTTTATAGGACTATTGGTGCTTAAGTTGCAAGGCCTCTAATTGTTAAGACGGTACCCTTAACAATTGGTATGGTAGTGACTTGGGCCAATACGTGTCTGTAACGTTTTTCCGTCAATTGACATTTATAGGAGTCTAATGACTCATCCATATTTCTTTCAGAAATGGAGGGCAGGCGAATGCGAATCGGGAACAATCCGAAGGGGCAGACGCCGGTAGCATCCCAAAGGGGGAGCCGGGCTGCATCTCGGGGTTCAAGAGGAGGCCGTGGAGGCCGTGGAAGCCGTGGAGGTCACCAAGCTCAAACTGTGAGTGAGGGCCATGTAAGCTCGGTGTATGAAACCAACACCGAAGACTACGACTCTACATATGTTCCGGAAACGGAGCACGAGGAGACCCCATATGATGGGGGTGACACATACACCGATGATGATGATGAAGAGAGTGATGCCAAGTTCGCCCAAATGGGCGAATTGCTTGAGTGGTATCAAAAAGAAAAGCTGAGGAGAGACCTTAGGCGCCAAGCAAGGCGTGGCTCTCGCGGTGGTTCGGGTCAAGGAAGCCGGGGAGCTTCAAGAGCCACTCCCGTGGCGCCACACGATGGGCGTGAAGGAGGTTTTTGTGTGAGAATCTCCAAGTACCTCAAGGAGGCTAGGGCCTTGGGGTGTAAGTCCTTTGACGGCACCGGTGACATTACCGTTGCCGCCGATTGGATAAAGAAGGTGAAGGATGCGGCAAAGGACATGCAAATTTCACCGGACGTGAAGTTGACTGTTGCTTCACGGCTGCTTGAGGGGATAGCTTCCACGTGGTGGGAGAGTGTGGAAGGAAAATACCATGGGGAGGTCTCATGGTTGAACTTTGAGCAGGAGTTTTATGACCAATACTACACTGACTATGAGAAAAATGTCAAGCGTAGGGAGTACACCAACCTCAAACAGAAGGAGGGTGTGTCTGTTAAACAACTGGAGCAAGATTTTAGAACCTTGGCTAGGTTCTTACCGGAGTACGCGATCAATGAGGACCGCATGTCGGAGCACTTTTGGGATGCCTTACTCTTGGACATCCGTGATCGGGCTACGTACTCACGCCACATGACCTTTAGCGAGGTGGTGGAGCAGGGCCTTCTTGGGGAGGCTCAATGGAATGAGAGAAAAGAAAGAGACGCCGAGGAGGCGAAAAAGAGAAAATGGCATAATTCGGGGCCGCCCGAGCAAGCACGGAAGAATCACCACGGTGGGGGTGGGGGTACGTTCAAGGCGCCGGCACCACCGGCGAAGAAGAACAAGGATGCTCGGTGGCACGCATCCTCCTCTCAAAATACGGGGCCTCCTAAGTGTGCCAACTGTTCAAAGAACCACTTCGGGAAGTGCAACGCACCCCCGAGGTGTTATCGGTGTGGGAACACGGGCCACATGAAGGCCAATTGCCCACAATTGGGGGGAGGAGGAGCTCCGGGATCCGGAGGAGGAACCACGACGGGAAGGAACCGTGCGGGGCCGTCAAACGGCGGCACGGGAAGAGGCGGCGCATCCACAAGCCATGCCGCATCCGTCAACCAAGGTGGGACCCAAGCCCGAGTGTACTCGATGACCGAGGCGGATGCGAGAGCAAACCCGGACTCCGTTGCAGGTAATACACGTATTCCCATGTATTTCTAGGCTTACTTTGATCATATACATCGTTGGGAGTGAGTGCGGGCCACCCCGGGGTTGAACCGGGGGAACTTCGGACAACTTTGGCCTGCTAGGACCCAGGCACGATCGTGCCTAAGGCAGGCACGATCGTGTCTACAGGCCAGTAGCTATCTGCGGTTTTTCCTAACCCAGGCACGATCGTGCCTAAGGCACGCACGATCGTGTCTACGGGTCAGTGGCGATCCGCGTTTTTCCAGCCCAGACACGATCGTGCCTAAGGCACGCACGATCGTGTCTGCAGTGCAGTAGCTCCCTGGCTTCTTCCCGAGCCAGGCACGATCGTGTCTACCCCAGGCACGCCGTGCCTGGCACCCAGAATGCCAAAAGCCGGGTTTTTAGCACCTTTTCGCGACGTTAAGACCTTTTCTTGATCAGTAAGGTGGGTGTGAACATTGTAACCTTCTTTAAATGAGTAAGGAGGGTAGGAAAGATGTCTTACATGGTTCATGAATGTAGGGACATTAAAGATCAATGGTAGGTGTGCGAGGATCCTCATCGATACCGGGGCACAACGCTCATTTGTGAGTGAGGCGTTCGCCGGGGGCCTTGACGTGCCATTGACACCTATGACGCAAACGTTGCTAGTCTCCACACCGTTAGGGGACGATGTGGAGAGAAATCATTACTATCCATCATGTGAGGTGGAAGTGACGGGCCAACCTTTGACTTGTGATTTCGTACCTCTAAGCATGTTGGAGTTCGATGCAATCCTAGGAATGGATTGGCTTGAGAAGCACCATGCTCGAGTAGATTGCTACACCAAGGTGTTGGAGCTCGAGGATGAGCAAGGAAACATGCTATGTTTTGAAGGAGATCGGGGGAAATCTAATGCTTGTATCATATCCGTGATGAGAGCACGAAAGATGATGAGGAAGGGATGCCACGCATACCTTGCTTACGTGGTAGATGATACGAAGAAAGAAGTCGACATCAAGGATGTTCGAGTCGTGTGCAAGTACCCGGACGTCTTTCCCAAGGACCTACCGGGGCTTCCACCCGATAGAGAGATTGAATTTGTAATCGAAGTGGAGCCGGGAACCAAACCCATTTCGATTCCTCCTTATCGAATGGCACCGGCCGAACTCCAAGAGTTGAAGGTCCAACTACAAGAATTACTGGACAACGGGTTCATCAGACCCAGTCATTCACCGTGGGGGGCACCCGTACTCTTCGTGAAGAAGAAGGATGGTACACTAAGAATGTGTATTGACTACCGACAATTGAACAAGGTCACAATCAAGAACAGGTATCCCTTACCGAGGATTGATGACTTGTTTGACCAACTTCGGGGGGCAATAGTGTTCTCGAAGATTGATTTGAGGTCGGGGTATCATCAGTTGAAGATCAAGGAGAGCGACATACCTAAGAGTGCATTCCGCACTAGGTATGGTCATTACGAGTTCCTTGTAATGTCATTTGGTTTAACCAACGCACCGGCGGCATTCATGGACTTGATGAACCGGGTGTTTAGTGAATACTTAGATCAATTTGTGATAGTATTCATTGATGATATCTTGATATACTCCAAGAGTGAGGAGGAGCACGAGCATCATTTGGGGCTTATACTTGATCGGCTAAGGGAAAAGCAACTCTTTGCCAAGTTCTCTAAATGCGAATTTTGGCTCAAGGAGATTGGTTTTCTCGGTCACGTCATATCCGGTTCGGGCGTAGCTGTGGATAACGCAAAGATAAAAGCTATCATGGATTGGGAGAGACCCAAGAATGTGAAAGAGATACGTAGTTTCCTTGGCTTAGCGGGATACTATCGTAAATTTGTTGAAAAATTCTCCGTATTGGCGTCTCCATTAACGAAGCTCACAAAGAAAGGGGCCAAGTTCATATGGGACGACAAGTGTGAGAAAGGGTTCCTTGAACTGAAGAAACGACTTACCGAAGCACCAGTCCTTGCCCTACCCATACAGGGGATAGGGTATGACATTTACAGCGATGCTAGCATCCAAGGGCTTGGATGTGTACTAATGCAAAACGGTAAGGTGATTGCCTATGCTTCTAGGCAATTGAGAAAACACGAGGTGAACTACCCTACTCACGACCTAGAGTTGGGGGCGGTAGTGTTTGCATTGAAGATTTGGAGGCATTATCTCTACGGGGAAACGTGTCACATTTATACCGATCATAAGAGCTTGAAGTATGTATTCACTCAAAAAGAGTTGAATATGAGACAAAGGAGATGGATGGAGTTGATCAAGGACTATGACTTGATCATCGACTATCATCCCGGAAAGGCCAACGTAGTGGCCGACGCACTGAGCAGGAAGAGTACGTCAGGGACGTTACTTACTTGTCTGCAGGCATTGAGGGCACGCGTGGAGGTGTCCACGTGCGGGGCTCTCATTGCTCAATTTGAGGTTAGGCCCACCCTATTGGGCGAGATTAGTCGAAGTCAGGCCATGGATGAGGAATGTCAGAAGATCCGTGAAAGGATCCTTGCGGGGCCCGTTGAGAACTTCCGGGTACGTGATGACGGTCTGTTATTGTTTAAGGATCGTGTGTGCATACCAAGGAATGAGGAACTCCAGAAATCTATACTTGAGGAGGCTCATTCTTCAGCTTATGCTATGCATCCAGGAGGTACTAAGATGTACCGAGATTTGAAGGAAAGTTACTGGTGGTCAGGTATGAAGAGAGACATTGCTGAGTATGTGAGTCGGTGCCTTACTTGCCAGCAAGTTAAGGCAGAGCATCAGCACCCGGCAGGGCTGTTGCAGCCACTCACCATCCCAGAGTGGAAGTGGGAGCACGTGACCATGGACTTCGTGGTGGGGCTACCACGAACAGTGAACAACTATGATGCAGTTTGGGTAGTGGTTGATAGGCTCACCAAGAGTGCACACTTTTTGCCTATCAACATTACTTATCCTCTTGAAAGATTGGCCAAGCTTTACACGGAGGAGATTGTGAGATTACATGGAGTCCCGATATCCATTGTCTCGGATAGGGATCCACGATTCACATCCCGATTTTGGCCAAAGTTTCAAGCATCGCTGGGTACTAAACTGAAGTTTAGCACAGCTTTTCACCCACAGACGGATGGACAGTCCGAGCGGGTGATACAGATTTTGGAAGACATGCTTAGGGCATGTGCTTTGGAGTTCCAAGGAAGTTGGGACAAACATTTGGCCCTAGTGGAGTTTGCTTATAACAACAGTTATCAAGCAAGTATCGGCATGCCTCCATATGAGGCATTGTATGGGAGGAAATGTAGAACACCGTTGTGTTGGGACGAGGTTGGCGAGGCCAAACTCGAAGGGATAGAGCTGGTTGAGATTACCAAGGCCAAGGTAAGGATCATTCGGGATAGATTGAAGGCTGCTCAGGACCGACAGAAGAGTTATGCTGATAAACGGCGGAGACCGTTGGAGTTCGAAGTCGGTGATGAGGTCTTCCTAAGGATTTCTCCTTGGAAGGGCATCATTCGATTTGTATCGAGGGGAAAGCTTAACCCCCGATACATTGGTCCATTTGAGATCCTTGAAAGGATTGGAGCCGTGGCTTATCGTCTCAAGTTAACGCCGGAACTTGAGAAGATACATGATGTGTTCCATGTATCAATGCTCAAGAAGTACATACGGGATCCCTCTCATATTCTTGAGAAACCGCCAGTAGAGATCCGTGAGGATTTGCAATATGCGGTAGAGCCGGTGAAGATAGTGGGTCAACAAGTGAAGAAACTTAGGAATAAGGAGATTCCTATGGTAAAGGTTCTTTGGAGGAGTGATCGAGTCGAAGAAGAAACATGGGAGACCGAGGTCTCAATGAGGGAGCAATACCCGTTTCTTTTCGATTAGACACACGGATTTCGGGGACGAAATCCCAAATAAGGGGGGGTGAACTTGTAACACCGTCCCCAAATGTATTTACTTTTATGTAAATGATGTAATAAACCTTATGGAATGATTTATGAATTTACGAAGTTGTAAATTTTTATTTATTCTTTCGCGTGAATAGTAAATTGCACGTGGGACCCACACCGGGAGCGGGGGCCGCCCGATTTTCCCGAGACCATACATTTTATTCATCATGGTCTAGATAATAAATATGTAGTGGTGGATATTTCATTTGGGCCATGGAAAGGCCCGGAGTTGACCGATTGGTCAAAAGAAGCCCAAATTACCAGTACTGGTAATTTAACTGATAACAGCCCGAACTGAATTTCGGAGGCTTATAAATTAAAGTTGGGGAATGTATATTCATTATACATGTCATAATGAGTAAGAGCACATAATATATTTTATTTGACCCGATAAAATAAAATATATTTAAAACAGTCCGAAAAATACAACTTTCGGGACCGATTGTACACTTCGGGACACAAAGGGTTGACCTCCCACATGAGTGGGGGCCAACCCACGAATTTGGACACTCAATATGGGGTGTTGGCCGCTGGAATGGGAATAGGAAGGTGGGAGGTGTTGGAGATTGAATGGAAAGGCATCAAAAGTACCTAAGGTGGACCCTCATTTTGCACTCATTGGATTAATGAGACAAAAGTCCATTCTCATCCCCCTCCCCTCTTCATTTTCGGCCAAGCTACAGCAAGAAGAGAAAGAAAACTCTTCTTCTTCCTTTCTCCATTGTTGAAGAGAGCTCATCAAAGAAGAATCACCCAAAAAGGAGCTAAAGTGCTAAAAGTGTGAAATAATTAAGGTAATGACCTTATTATAACTTTTTCTTTATTTTTCTTCTACCATATGAAGTATATAGCATATGAAGAACCTTTAGTATGGTTCCATATGCTATAAGTATGGATTCATGGGTTGGAAGGTGGTTCTACGTCCAAAAACGGACTTAGAAGCCAAAACGACCGGTTCACCGGAAAATAACCTTTTAGAGGTTATTTGTATTAATATGGGTTTTATGATTATAAAACCTTGTTAGGCACTTGTAAAGGGTATTTCAAGTGATTTCACAAAGTTGGAAAAGTCGCCGGAGTTGTCGCCGGAGTTGACCAAAAGTCGCCGGAGTTTCACCGGAGTTCAACCAAGAAGGGTGGAACTTCATAACACTAGTTCAAGGTGAGTGGACGGCTTAATATCTTATAACTTTTGGGTTAATTATGAGATTACCTAAATAAATGTTATATGAGTTCATAATGATGTTTAAAAGATATTTAAACATGTGATTAGCCAATAGGGTTAAGTTTGTATAAAAGAAATAAATGATTTATGCATGGAATATGATATGAGGAATTACATAAAATCCATATTTGTTTGAAAGGTATAAGGAACACCAAATGAACATTATCAATTTAATTACATGATGATTAAGTTGATAAGTGTAAGACTTGAAATGGCGGTCAACGACACCGTTGACCGGTGGATAATGGATTAATTAATATCGGTTGATATTAGTTAGTTATACATTTATAGAATCGCACGGTTTTGCATGGATTGTGATACATAAGCTTTATGTATTGAATTAGTTATGAGTAACTAAGTGTGATATAAACTCTATCTAGGTTGATAGAAGGTTGATCATAGGAAAATATTTTGGTGGAGGACCCTAGTACTCAAAAGTACTTAACACTCAAAATTTGGTGGAGGACCCTAGGACTTAAAGTCCTTAACACTCGGATTATAAATTGGTGGAGGACCCTAGTACTTAAGAGTACTTAACACTCAAACTTGGTGGAGGACCCTAGTACTCAAAAGTACTTAACACTCAAAATTTGGTGGAGGACCCTAGGACTTAAAGTCCTTAACACTCGGATTATAAATTGGTGGAGGACCCTAGTACTTAAGAGTACTTAACACTCAAACTTGGTGGAGGACCCTAGTACTTAAAAGTACTTAACACTCAAAACTTGGTGGAGGACCCTAGGACTTATGAGTCCTTAACACTCGCAAACCGGTGGAGTACCCAAGGATTATGATCCTCAAAACTCATAGATTATGATATTGAAATAGGGACAAGGAGGAGTCCTATACACTCATTGGTATATGGGTGGGTTGGGGTTTTTAGTCAAGAATATTGACTATTACTATTCTTCCCAAATAAAATGGTGATCTACGGATCGGATATTTTCCAAGTATATATTTATACTAATAAGTATTTCATAACTTGGGGGAAAGACTATCTATTTAAGTATCACCCTATGTTTGGGTCTTATACTTGAAACGCTAGTTATTCTATATTTAGCCTGCTACTCGCTCGGTACTTGTACTGACCCCTTCGGGGGGCCCCACCATTTTCAGGTTGAAGCTAGGGCTTGCTACTTGCACCTTCTCACGGGTGGTATCAAATCAGGAAGACGTGGTTCGTGCTTCCTTATTTTCTTTCAAACTACCGAACACTTGCTCATGGATATTTGTTCTACTATAAACTATTTTTGGGGCTTGCATGCCCATGTTGTTGGCCGGTTGTGGCCTATGACTTACCGTTGAATATTTTCCGCTATTCATTGGTTTAAATGTGATGTTGTTATGTATGTTTACTACTGAGTATGGATGGATTGTTTTCTCGAACGCCTTGTGTAATTGAGTGAGGTTGACTCGTGGGTGACGTCACTTAGTTATACGGCGGTTGTACACGCGCTTGGATTGCGGTCTGGGGCGTGACACAGCAACCACTAGTGATGGAAAAACAAAATTAAAAAAATATCATTCCACAAAGTTCTTCATGGCACGGAGGTGGTTCTAGAGGAGGACGAGCTCTACCAATGTTTACACACTTTAGAAGAAAGCAGACAGAAACCTCTTCTCAGACAAAGCTAGTCAGGACACCAACAGAACTCCCCACATCGAGAGTAACAAACCATCCCTGAGCATCAGTGCCTGGAAAATAACTGCCATAGAACAAAATCAACACAACCAGAAGAGGAGAAGAATTCAATTGGATCATACCTCCACAAGAATCTCTGAGCGAAGATGTTAATGGTGATGGCTGATCATCCCTCTACGGCCGCCGATTGGAGAAAAGTTGGGACGCCTCTTAGGGTTTAAAGTGGGAAGACTCTCAAACCTAGATTGTAGTAAATTGTACTATTAGTCATGTAAGTTTTATTTTAGTAATATTTTTGAAAAAAATTATAATAATAATAACATGTACACGCTTTACAAATTTACAAATTACAAATGGCACATATTTGCCATTTTGGCCCGAACTGAATCCAGCCCTAATGATTATCCTATTTTTTCGTCCGTCCCCACTAAATTTGCCGCATACTATATTTGATAATATTTCGGTCATTCTAATTCATTCTTACTTTTTTCTTACTTTATCAATTCATTATCAATCACATAATTTTACTTTTATTAAAAACCGCACCACTGTTTTATCTCAATGTTAGGGGGCGGAGGTAGTAGTAGTTATACTACGTATTAGGAGGGTGTTTAGCGTCGGTTGTTGGCTGTTGGCCGATTGTTTTAGCTGATTGATACAACAGATTTCGTTGGTTGTTTTAATTAGCTGATTGTAGTTTGTTGGCCGGTTGTTGGCTGTTGGCCAATTGTTGGCTGTTGGCCGATTGTAGTTTGTAAAATGGTGTTTGATTAAATAGATGTTTATATTTAGTTGATAATTTAATAAATGACATTTGAGGACATCAATTAATTTTCTACTAACGTAATTAGCACTACATAAATTCTTTTTATATCTTTTTTATGATTAAAATTAAAACGTAATGTATTAACACGACTAATAATTACTCCATATTTTAAACCTCTACTTTTTTTAATTCATAAGTGATAACCCATTTCTCTTACTTTTTCATGAGATGAACACGACATTTTTATGAGATGAACACGACAGATGAGGTAACCACAGTCGGTATCCCATTTTTATGATATCGATCATTTTTTGAAGGAGCATGATCAAATAGCTAACTATAGGAGAGATCGGCATTCTCCTTGCGTTGTTTTTTTGCTCTAAGACAGAAGAAGATTTAGGTTAGGGAATTATAAATTTGGTCTTCGGCGGAATTTTTTGTGCAAGTATAGGAGAGATATGGAAATTAGAGGGTAGCGTAGGAAAGATACCAAACGGCCAATTGCAATTTGCAAACGCTGGGAATAATGGCGTTTTAGTTTTTGGCTGTTTGGAACAAAAGACTAATCTCAAAAGCTATTTAACCAAACATTTTTATTAGCCAATTGATATAGTCAAAAGGTCAAATATAGTCAAAACAGCCAATAGTTGGCTGAAAAGCTACTAACCAAACACCCCCTATATATAATTAACTAGTATGAGTACCCGTGCACCGCACGGGAACATATGTGCTTAAAGTTTTTATTAAAATTGTAGGGAAAATAAATTGGATGTAAATTCATCAATGGGAGTTAATAAGAAAATTCAATCGACTATATATGGATAGAGCCGTCAAAGTGAGTCAAAATCCATATTAGGGCTTGCCCATTTCATCTCATTTCATGGTGGATAAGAGTTGTCATTCTTTAATCCGATGAACTCACCGGTTTCGTGATGCAATTTGCACGGGTTGCGAGTTAAGTGAGTTGACCCATGCAAGTTGCGTGTAAACCAAAATATAAACATTTGACTTTCATTGTCTTCAATATTGATGATTTACCACTAAAATAATTTTCAAATATGCTTATTAGTTTACAACCCTTGTTGAACCATTGTTTCTATATATAATAATTATTCAAATAAATTACTCTAGCATTATTTCTATATATATGAACCGAAACGTTAGATTTGAAGATTGTAAATTATAAATATAAGATTGAGTTTAAATGAGAAGACATCTTAATGTGTAAAGAGAATTAGAATGATCACGAATGTTAGATTTGAAAATTGTGCATTATTTGAAATAGAATTATGCGCTATCATAAATAAAAATTGAAGTGACATTTTTGTAAATCAAATAACCTTTTCATGTTCATTTAATGTCTGAATTATTTTAAATATAAGTGTATTGTGAAACTCCATTAAAAATAATGTGCATCATTTGAGATCGTTCTCATCGTTTGAGACCGTTAGGCAGTTAGATGATCCAAGCTATGAAAAATATAAGCTACCACGGGTTGGGTAAGATTGGGGAGTGCTAATCCATTTATCAACCTGAACATAAATTGCGAAGTATAAATAAATATGAGACAAAAAAATGAATCTACATTTAGACATTGATTTGGTAGACCTTGTGAATTAATAAATAAATAAATAATATCACATTTGTCCCCTCAAGATCGAGACATGTGCATCTATTAAAAAAAGAGTTTATATAGCTAATGTTGAAATGAAAATGCAGGAACAATAATGTAAGAATAATTTAGAACTACACATGCGTTATAATATTTAGAGCTACACAAACTTAGTGAACGAAAAAAGGAAATGTCGGAGAAAATTAATGTGACGAAGGATGTAATAATTATCATATTTTGGAAAGAAATAAGAAACAATTTATAATAACTCCGAATAAGGGAGAATCTCCAAGAGTTTATGAGAATAGAAATAGAGAGCAATATTTTTGTTTTAACAGTGGCTAAAAGTTGTCAATTATTTTTTATTTTTGAGTATTTCGATTTTGTAATACCGGTGAGTGCAAAATTTTACCTAAAATTTTACCTAATTTTATATAGAACAAATTTCCTATAATATTGGAATACACAAGAGTAGAGTTTCGGAAGTTGAATAGCTTTTTCTTTAATTTATTGTGTTGCCACATGTCATTGTTTCATACAAAGGATGTTGCCACATGTCATCAATTCATCTAAAGAGTTCTATAAGGGTTTGCTTTATTATATTATTATATAGATTAACAATTCATCCAATGATATAACCAAAGAGATTATGCTTGAAAAGTTCAAATCAAACCAGATTAGACCAGACTAAAAAAGTCCAATCCAATTAAAAAACCTTTGGAAGTATACTACGAAACATGTGGAAATCAAAATCGAAGATTCACAGAGAAGTTCTGAATGGAATTAAATGAGGCCAGCTGAGGGGGAGGAAGTACAGTTCAACGGCGAGCAGAAATACAGAGAAGCGTGCAATTAATAAATGGATCTGCAATCAGGTGGCAACCTGGGCCCTGCTCATATCCTTAGGGACGGAGTACCCCGCTTTTTTGAGGTGGAGACGGACGCCGGAATTGCTGGCGCCTCGCACACCGTCCCCTCATCGATCATCATGATCCAAAAAAGAAAAGGGAAAGTTTTGTATTGCCAAAATGCCTTTCCGTATTTGATTTTGAGCATAAGCCGAAATTAAAAATCAAATCCACCCCTACACTCATATTCATAACCTAAACGATTTTAGTCATTTTACAATATGGTTCGTGCCCTAAGGACTAGGTTTTTGTCCTAAAATTTTATAGCCGGGGTCATTTAGGATGTTTTTACTTGGACTGTAATTTGCTGGTCTGGTCTGAACTGGTCTGGTCTGGTAAGGTCTGGTTTCTTTGTATTTTTATAACTATCTAAGTCTGGTCTGGTCTGATCTAGTCTGAACTGGTTTGGTCTAGGACAAATTACAGTCCAAGTAAAAACATCATTAGAGTAAAGGGCCCTAGCCCCTAGGATATTATACAAACTATTCCAAAAGTTTCACTACAACATACTATGTACAAAATTCAATATAAAATATTATGTAAATTTGTTCACAATAAAAATATAAAATAATTCTTAAACAGAATAAAATAGACGTTTCTAAATATTATACGTAGTATAAGGGTATGTTTAGCACAACTAGCTAAAAAGATACTTTTACGAGTTTTTTAATAACGGTTAGCTTTTTTTTTATAACGGTTAGCTTTTAGTGACTCAAAAGATCTTAAAAAGAAAAGGTGATAGCTGTTTGGTAAAAAGTTGACTGTTTGATTTAGTTCGATTTGGTATACAAGCTGTTAGGACTAATTAATACTAAAAGTCACGAGCTTTTCTCAGATGCTACACCTGAGAAAAGATATTTTAATTTTTGAAAAGCTCTTAAAAAATGTCATGCCAAACATACAACTAGAGTCTTTTAAGGTATTTTTAAAGAATAAAGAAGCTAGAAGCTAGAGCCTTTTGTGTGCCAAACATAGCCTATAAAAAGTCTATAAAAACTTTTAATTGTATGTTTGGCATGACAACTTTTAAGAGCTTTTCAAAAATTAAAAGATATTTTTTGAGATGCTACAGAGAGTAGCATCTGAGAAAAGCCCGTGACTTTTAGTATCAATTCATCCTAACAGCTTGTATACCAAACATAACTAAATCAAACAGTCGGCTTTTTTACCAAACAGCTACCACTTTTCCTTTTAAGATCTTTTCAGTCACTAAAAGCTAACAGTTACTAAAAACGTCACAAAAGTATCTTTTCAGCTAGTTGTGTCAAACATATCCCAACTCTACCAAGCTCGGAAGGTGAGGAGCGTAAACCCGAAGCGTGATGTTTGGACGGTGACTTTTCCTCCTTATTCATTAAGGATGTTTTCTTTTGGACTATTTTAAGTCCCAGACCAGACCATACCAGACTTCCGTAATTATAAAATACACAGAGACCAGATGTTTATCATACCAGACTAGACCTGTTCAGACCAGACCAGACCAGCAAATTTCAATCTAAAAGAAAACATCCTAAGTAGTTGCCCTTAATAGGAATAAAATATAGAGAGTACATCTTATCCCTAAATAGGAGTACTCTTCTATTATTCTCTAAATAGGACTAGGGATTGCTTTCCTGCCCCTAATACCCGTATTAAACTAATTAGTTGCCCCCTAGTTGACTAGTTCCCTTTGGTAATCGGGGCAGTCCGTTGATGACGGGGTAGTCTAGTTGGTGATGAGGCAATTCGGTGGTGGTAAAGGTTGCAGCGGCAATAAAAATTGGGGAAAATATGGATTTTATTTTACTCGCCAGAGCTCCGACAGCCGGCAGGACTAGAGCAAGCAGCAGGTCTGGCAGTGATAAGGGCATTCTGTTTTTGAAAATGCAAGGTTCCATTAATAATTATGACCTAACCTCAGGGGGTTAACAGTAATTTTCCCGTTTCAAAATTCTCCAATAGGAATTTTTTTCTAAATGAACAAGAATTCTCACTATATGCCCCCTCATGTTAATATTTGTTAAATTAAATTGAATACAATTTTATTTATCATTATTATAATTCATTGTTCTTGATCGTTATTTTTTACTTAGCTACTCGTTCGTGGAATAAATATTAATGAAAGTAGTTAAGTTAGATGACTC